TCATACCTAAGTTCCGGCTGAAGCTGAAGAAAATTAGAACAAGTCCACAAGAGCCAAAGTACGACCTTGAGAATATCCCTCCTGAATTTAGAGACCATCTCAAGAATAGATTTGATGCACTGAACACTAATGACTGAAGAACAGACGAGGTGTGGAATGACATCAAGGACATCACATAAAAAGAAAGCAAAAGGTCATTAAAAATACAAGAAAAAAAGAAAAGACCAAAATGGATGTCAGAAGAGACTCTGAAACTTGCTCTGGAAGGTAAAACAGCTAAAGCGAAGGGAAGAAATGAGCTGAAAAAGCAAATGAGCTGAACAGAAGATTTCAAAGGGCAGTTCGAGAAGACAAAGTAAAGCATTATAATGAAATGTGCAAACACTTGGAGTTAACAGTATGAAAAGATAAGAACACACTAGGCATTCTCAAGCTGAGAGAAATGAAGAAAAAATTCAAGCCTCAAGTTGCAATATTGAAGGATTCTACAGAGAAAATATTGAATGACACAGGAAACATGAAAAGAAGGTGGAAGGAATACAGAGTCACTGTACCAAAAAGAACTGGCTGACATTCAACCATTTCAGGAGGTAGCATATGATCAAGAATTGATGGTATTGAAGGAAGAAGTCCAAGCTGCACTGAAGGCACTGGTGGAAAACAAGGCTCCAGGAATTGACGGAATACCAATTGAGATGTTTCAACAAATGGATGCAGTGCTGGAGGTGCTCACTCATCTATGTCAAGAAATTTGGAAGATAGCTACCTGGCCAACCAACTGGAAGAGATCCATACATGTGCCCATCCCAAAGAAAGATGATCCAACAGAATGCAGAAATTATTGAACAATATTATTAATATCACATGCAAGTAAAATTTTGCTGAAGATCATTCAAAAGCAGTTGCAGCAGTCCACCGAAAGGTAACTGCCAGAAATTCAAACTGGATTCATAGGAGGACATGGAATGAGGAATATCACTGCTGATGTCAGATGGATCTTGGCTGAAAGCAGAAAATACCAGAAAGATGTTTACCTGTGCGTCACTGACTATACAAAGGTATTCGACTGTGTAGATCATAACAAATTATGGATAACACTGTGAAGAATGGGAATTCCAGAACACTTAATCGTGCTCATACAGAACCTGTACATAGACTAAGAGGCAGCTGTTTGACCAGAACAAGGGGATACTTCCTGGTTTAAAATCAGGAAAGGTGCACGTCAGGGCTGTATCCTCTCACTATACTTATTCAATCTGTATGCTAAGCAAACAATCCAAGAAGCTGGACTATATGAAGAATGGGGCATCAGGACTGCAGGAAGACAACCTGCAATATACAGATTCAGTGTGGATTGCACCTCAACATAAAGAAAACAAAAATCCTCACAAATGGACCAATAAGCAACATCATGATAAAGGGAGAAAAGATTCAAGTTGTGAAGGATTTCATTTTACTTGGATCCATAATCAATGCCCATGGAAGCAGCAGTCAAGAAATCCAAGGACGTACTGCACTGGGCAAATTTGCTGCAGAAGACCTCTTTGAAGTGTTACAAAGCAAAGATATCACTCTGGGGACTAAGTTGTGCCTGACCCAAGCCATGGTGTTTTCAATCTTCTCATATGCATGCAAAAGCTGTACAATGAATAAGGAAGACTGAAGAAGAATTGATGCCTTTGAATTATGGTGCTGGTGAAGAATATTGACTACACCATGGACCGCCAGAAGAATGAACAAATCTGTCTTGGAAGAAGCACGGCCAAAACGCTCCTTAGAAGCAAGGACAGCGAGACTTCAGCTCACGTACTTTGGACATGTTATCAAGAGGGACTAGTCCTTGGAGAAGGACATCATGCTTGGTAAAGTAGAGGGCCAGCCAAAAAGAGGAAGACCTTCAAAGAGATGGATTGATACAGTGACTACAACAATGGGCTCAAACACAGCAACAATTTTGAGGATGGCTCAGGACCAGGCAGTGTTTCATCCTGCTATACATAAGGCTGCTACGAGTTGGAATTGACTCAATGGCACCTAACAACAACAACAACAGTAAAGTGGATGGTTAGCTTTTTTAAATAACTGCCAAATTATTTTCCACAGTAGCTGAACCGGTTTCAAGGGTGTAGAAATCTTACCTCCCTTTACCCTCCCCCATTTTCAGTATAATACTCCTATATACTTCTTACATACAGTAAAAACTATGAAAGCCAGACCTGTCAGAGAAGAAAACTCAAACATTTTCCACTAACAGAGTGACAGAAAAGTGGTAAGACTGCATCGTGTCACAGGCAGAAAACTTGCAAGACTTGGAAAAACAAAGCAATCCCATCGACTTCTGGCTCTCACAAGTTTCACCGTATCTACACTGTACACCCAATGGGACAATGTTGTAATTTTTGTGTCAACCATTAAACATAATTTTAGAAAACTCCAAAAAGGAAAATCTTACTATGTTTACTCGTATTTTAACTCTTTCAGTTGTTCTTCCTTCCTGATGGTTCCAAGATTGCTTTTTTTAAATAATTTATTTTCTGTTTAGAGAACTTCTTTAAGCCATTCTTTTAGGGTAGGTCTGCTGGTGACAAATTCTCTTAATTTTCACTCATTTGACAATGTTTTGATTTCCCCTTCATTCCTGAATGATATTTTCACTGGTGTGATCACTAAGGTTGGGTGTCAGCTTGGCTGGACCATGTTTTTCAGTGGTTTGGCAGTTATGATGTAGTCTGGCAGCTGTATGATTATGTGATGACTTCCATGATGAGATCTGATATAATGTAATCACCTCCATAATGTGCTCTGCTGTGAGTAGCCAATCAGTTGAAAGGGAGTTTCCTTGGCGGTGTGGCCTGCATCCAATATAGGTGGACTTTTGGCAAGGCTTATGGGCTTTTGCTTACTCTGGATCCTGCAGCTGGCTCCTGTTCGTTTCACCTCTGATTCTTGGGACTTGAGCTAACAGCTTACCTGCCATCTTGACTGCTGATCTTGGGATTCATCGGTATTCCCAGCCTGTAAGCAAAAGGCCTGCTCTCTGACCTGCCGATCTTTGGGTTCGCCAGCCCCTGTGGCTACGTGAATCAGAAGCCTCCAGCCTGACCCTTGGACATGGGACATTCCAGCTTCTACAACTGCGTGAGCCACTTCTTTGATATAAATCTCTCTGTATATATATTTACACGCTTCCCTGGTTTTGCTTCTCTAGAGAACCCAGCCTAAGACACCAAAAAACCAAACCTACTGCTGTCAAGTCAATCCCAACTCACTGCGACCCTATAGGACAGGCAGAAGACAACTGGGTACAGAATTCTGGATCAACAGCCCTTTTCTTTGAGCACTTGAAAAATGTTGCGCCACTTCTGGCCTCAACAGTTTCTGATGAGAAATGTGCTGCCCTGCAGGCCAAGTGTCATTTCGCTGATTGCAACCAGATCCCCACTCGGCCCTCTCTGACACCACCTGGCTGGGAAGAAGGGTATCCTATTGCTAAGTGGAGTTACAAGTCTAGGCTCCCCACTTGGCTTTTGCTGGTGGGGGTAGGGCTACAAGTTTTTGTTTGTTTTTTTTTGTGGTGTTTGTCTGAGGAGAGCATTTATTGTCTAAACGTTTTCTGTCTTGTCTGGCTACCCCTTTTCTAGTCTATGAACAAAGCAGGCTTTTCTTGTTGTTGTTGTTTTTGTTGTCTGCACCCATAGCTTCTCCAGTAACAAGTCTGCAGTATATGAGACAAAAAGAAAACACAGGGAACTCACTGCCGTCTTGTTCCTCATGGGCTAAGGGCCTTAGCCAGTCTGCCTTCTCTCACCTCTCAGGTTCTTCTTGTGTCTATTTCATAACGTTCAGGGTTTTTAAAAGCTGTACTTAGCAAGAGGAACAGGGAAAAGCAGCAGCACATTCCTTTCTAATGCTACATAGTATCCCATTGTATGGATGTACCAGTTTGGGTATCCATTCACCAGTTAAACGAGAACATTTAGGTAGTTTGGTTTGTGGCAAGTATGAGTACGGCTGTTATAAACATTCACATATAGGTTTCTGCGTGACTCTAAGATTTTTTTCTTCAGGGTACGGACCTAGGAGTGCGACTGCTGGGTTATACCACTAAGTGTATATTTAGTTTATAGGAAACTGCCAAACTGTTTTCCAAAGTTGCTGTACCCTTTTGCATTCCCATCAACAATTTATGAGTGTTCCTATTGCTCTGATCCTCAGCACTTGGAACTGTCAGGTTTTTTTTTAAAGCCATTCTTATAGGTTGAAGTAGCATTTCACTATGCTTTTAATTTGTATTACTCTAAGGATGATAAGTGTCTTTTCATGTATTTGTGAAGTGTCTGTTCAAATCCTTTGCCCAGTTTTTTTTTGTTTTCTTAGTTGTTTCATTTTGAGAGTTCTTTATATATTCTGCTTATAACATCTTTGTCATAGTTTCCTTTTCACTCAAATTCCATTACCAGTAACTGGCCAAAGTTTAAAACCTATTAAACCAATGCCTAATCAATAACTCTCAACATCTGACTGTTAGACTACACTTAAGTGTTTTTAGTTTTCCAGGTGGTAATATGTTCACAATCTCTGAGGAATTTTTGAAGGATGTACTAACTACAGAGAAGTTGCAAGTACTATGCTTATAATTTTAAAGTAAAACACACACTGAGTGCTCTAGTCTGCCTGCTCCTTAATCCAGGAAATTTAGTAGGTTACGAATTCATTCAAGGGTTCCAATACAATTACCAAAAACCAAACCCGTTGCCATCAAGTCACACCGACCCTACTGGACAAAGTAGAACTGCTCCATAGGGTTTCTAAGGAGTGGCTGGTGGATTTGAACTGCTGACCTTTTTGGTTAGCAGCTAAGCTCTTAAGCACGGTGCCACCAAGGCTCCAATACAATTAGAGAGGGGACAAAAAGTTGTGAGGCAAAAATCACATGGAGCCTGTATGTCAACTAGAGCCCACAGGTCACAAACACGATGAGGGATCAGAGAGAGTCTTACCTAGATCACTCCCAAGTGCTCCTGAACTTGTGGTTGGCCTTTCACATGGCTGTGAAACTGGTCCGGGCAGATCTACCTGCTGCTGCCGCTGCTGCTGCTGTTGCTGTTGCTGTTGCTGCTGTCTGAAACATTCAAAAGTGAATACACATTAAAGAAACAAACAAAAAAAGAACGAATACACCATGAGAAAAGCTATTCATGTGGAAAACAAATTTTTCCAAAAACAAAATAGTCACTGGCACGAACACCACAAATGAATGCAAGAACAATTCGTTTGATACATACTACTTAAAAGTTCGGAAGTGCTGATCCTAGGAAACCTAGATATAAAATCTGAATTTATCAAATTAAGAGGTGGGTATTTTCACCACAAAATTACCTACTGTACAAAAAGATAGCTATTCTGATAGTTTATAGACCCTTAATATTAGAAGCTATTAAAAATAAGCACCTTTGAGAAACTACAAATCACTGTGTAAGTTAACACGATCTTCCCCTGGCTGGCTCCTTCCTGTCATTCAGGTCTTGTCTTAAATATCTCCCCAGGGATGCCTTTTCTGACCACCCCACTGAAAGCAGCCACCTGGCATTCTCACTCCCTCATCACTCCGTTTGAATTCTTTCTCAGCATAAACTTATCACCATCTGCTATTGATCTCTTGCCTGTCTCTCCCCTCTTTTGAGTGTAAGCTGAATATGAGCACAAACCATATCTTCTTTATCTGCTTTCCCGGTGCCTAAAACAGCTTGTCACAGGGTAGGCATTCACCAGATACTTGATGAATGACTGAATGGAAACTATTTAACACCCATTCTTAGGTTTTCCGTAATATCTACTGCATTAAGTTCTTCCTATATTTTTTTAACAGGAAAAACGACGTCATAAAATTCCACATTTAAAAATGTTTAAACATGATGATTATGCTGTGACTATGTAGAAGAGCATCCTCTTGTAATCAGAAAATATACACTGAAGCACTGGGGCCAAATGAGAAATGATGTCTGTAATTCATTCTCAAATGGTTGAGAAATGTCAATAATTAAGGAATCTGGGTGATGAGTATACGGGGAGCTCTGTGTACTATTTCTGCTATTTTTATGTAAATCTGAAATAATTTCAGATTTTTGTGTGTGTGTATGATTAAAAAACAAAACTTATAAACAGCTGACAATCTGATTGAGAAACCATACCTTAAAAAATGCAAATTAGGATTTAAAAAGGAACCAGACTTTCAGAACTACCAGCAACGCTGTTTGTTAATAACCCACTGCTGTCGAGTCAATTCTGACTCATAGCGACCCTGCACAACAGAGTAGAACTGCCCTGTAGAGTTGCCAAGGCTGTAAATTTTTACTGAAGCAGACTGCCACATCTTTCTCCTACAGAGCAGCTGGTGAGTGTGAACTGCTGACCTTCAGTTAGCAGCAGAGCGCTTAACCCCTGCACCACCAAGGCTCCTTAACACTGTTAATAGAATAGTACTTTTTAAAGGGTTCCTCTCAATCTTGTGTTCTAAGTGTGAGCAACGAAGAAAATTCAACCAGCGGGAACTGCAACCCTGTTGGCCTTTGAGTCAGAATACTGACACCTGCACAGGCGTGTGACTCTCCAGAGTGCACGGATGAGATGCACACATGGGCAGGATGCAGCCCCCAATTCAGGAAAGATAGGCTGGGAGTTATGGGAATTCCTGGCACACCAGCTATCACTCCATGCCCTCTTCTGCCTTTACTCAAGAAACGAGGTCAGAATGCAAGGGAGTGACAGGTCAGACAGTGACTTTAGAGGGATGACCTTTTTTCTACTTTTTAACTTATGAAAATCGAAACGTAAATCAATTGTCAACCATGAAACAAGCCCAACACTTTTCTACTAGGATGACCCTATGTGATGGAACATATTCAGATAGCACTCAGTATCCATTCCCACTGAGCCTTCTCATATACCTTCAGTACTAGGGGCTGGAAAGCTAAGAACTACATGTCTCAGATTCCCTGCAGCTGGAATTCTGGTTGTAAGTTCAGCGCTTGCATGAGATTTGGAAGGTGGAAGTGATGGAGAGCCACCTTCCTGCTGTGTTGGCTGTTCTGTGGAGATGCCAGTCCCAGAATTGGGCTTCACGGTGTTGCATCGGGGGCTAGACTTCATGTTCCCATGTCCAGGCAACTGTGGTGGCTACTTTCTGATCCCAGTGTCTTGACTCCACAATCACAGGGGTGGCAACATGTTCTTAAGCTCAATATTCCTGATTCCCCATCTTCCCACTTGGGGCAGTGGCTGCAGCTCTTCTGGCAAGTTGGTCTGTGGTATTCTACAGGCCTACACTAGAGCCTGCACCTTCAACTCTTGCACGGATTTAAGCACCTAATTTCTGTACTAAATGCTTTTCTTCTTAAAACTCCTCTAGTAGTTTGTTTCTTAACTTGAACCCTGTCTGATAAACTAAACCAAGTGGCAGCTCAAATGTTAGGCACTCAAAAACTAGTATCAATCCTCACCAAGGGAACAATATCTGTGTCCCTCCTCGTTGGGAAACATGATGTTTTTCGAAACAGAAAGAACCTGTATCATTCCAAAGCTACCCATGGAGAAGACACTAACAATGCTAATACTTGTATCTGTAGAACAGTTTATAATTTGCACAATACTTTTACGTACACTGCCTAATCTGACGCTCATAACATGTAAGTTAAGGCAGGTTTTACAGTAACCTAGCTGATACAGTAGAGTTTTGCTTGGGGTTTTATGATAGTTAAAACAGATTTAGAGATTACTACTGCAAAAAAAAAAAAAAGAGCATGGCTATGAAAATTATTTCCCAAGTCTTACTTATAAACTGAGTTTGTAGTAGGTAGGTTTTTAATGGTATTTTTTGCACTAGAGAAAAACCCTATAGTCGTCGTGCTTTGTGCATGAACATTGTCGTTATGACACTAAATATGACACTTCAACACCTTACAGGGAAAAACAACCTATCGAATTGTATGGGGAAAAAAAAACAAAAAAAGACAGCACCAGGGTCAGTTTGGGGATGGTTACAGGGAAGATTTAGTCTGACAACCTGAAAATCAAGTTCGTAAAGATGGAAGCTAAAGTGATAACGACCCATCTGGTCTTACTAATCAGGAATTTAAGTGAAAAACAAATACTAGTTTCTAAGCTCCTCTCATAATCACTTCTACAAGATTTTTTAATACTAGCCAACATTAAAAAAAAGAAAAGACCAAGAAGTTAGCTCTCGGCTTTTCTCAGCAACATGTAACGACTATGTTATACATTCCCTAATTCTCCCCAAGTTCCCACCAGGATCTTCAAGGTCAAACCAGGAGGCTGAGGACTAAAGGTTGAATGAAGCTGGTAACCACAGATGTATACCTTCCTCCCCCATCAACTGCCCTCCTATCAGGAAGGAGCTATATCCATACTCCAACACTTTTAAAAACATCTGCTTATTATAAAGCACTAGTTATTGCTGCTATTGTGCTTGTTATAACCAGACATTACAGAATGTTCACTGCTTTATCTTTTCTACTATAAAAAGTTCAATTATTAGCAGTTCTGTATTTGTAATCCAAAACCCCCTAAAAATATTTTTAAAGAAAAGTTTACTTTTATACTTTAAAGATGTTTTCTTTTTCTTAAGTGTACGTGTAAATTTTAGTTTCTCTATACAGCATGGCTGCCTGGACCATTTTATTCTGGCAAAAAAGGAAGTCTGAAATAAGCATGGCAGGATTATCACTTGGGACAACTTTTCTAGAAAGCAATTTAGAATCTGTACCAAGCCCTTAACTCAATAATCCAACACCTACAGAAAAATCAGAGGAAATGATTCAAGATTTGTGGCATAGTCAGTACAAAGATTATTTGGTGCATTATTCATTATAATAGCAAAAATCAAAGGGTTCATATATGAATTAACATACATCCATACATCCATTCATTTTATAAAATATCATAAAGATCAGCCCGTTAGAAAGAATATTTCATATCATGGGAAAATAATTAACATTAAACAGGTATAATATTATACAAATGGGTATAAATAATGGGTATAACATTATATATGTGTGTAAGACTAGAAGAAAGTGCAGCAAAATATTAATATCTTTTATTGCAGAATGGCACGATTAAGCTTTCTTTGAATTTTATTGATATTTCTTAAAATAAATTTTCCAAAATAACTATGAGTTTTTATCTAATTAAGTTATTTTTAACACTAATTGGATATTTACATCATTAATAATTACCACATATTGATAATTATTACCAATATCTTGTGATAATGGTATTGGTTGTTTAAGAAAAAAAAAAAAAAAGCCCATATACTTTTAGAGATGCATACTGAAATATTTCTGGACTAAATGAAATGATGACAGAGATTTGTTGAAAAATAATCCAAGCTGGGTGGCGGGGAGTGGCAGGGACAGAAGACAGGGCCATAAAAAAACAAGACTGGCCATGTGCTGATATGCTGCAAAAGAGAAATAGGAGCTCATTTTGTGAACTTCTCTACTTTTGTATAAATCTGAAGTTTACCAGTTAAAAAAATTTAAAAAGTTAATTTAAAAAAAATTAAAAAAAGTGAAAAGCACTAATAAGCGTTATTTTGGAATTTTAAATAGAACTAAATCCATTAATCTATCTCTGAATAAAGACTAGAAATATCTCACATTAAGAGGATGTCAGCTGATCAGAACTTTCCTTCATATACTTCTGAGTTGTGACTTAAAAAAACAGAAAACAGAAAAAAGGGTAAATATCATCTTATACATCATTATACTATCAAATATAAAATGCTCCGATATTTTAGATATTGCTAAAATACTGCCAATTTTGATTGTGAGATGCTTCTCATCTCAGAGATATTGAAATGTGAAAAAAATGTGTATCTCCGAGTAGATGAAATGCAGTAGATAACAGGACAGACTGGGCCACTGGCCATTTGCTTTCTGAGCTGGGATCAGAGGATCTGAGTATGTATTACAGATATTGTGATCTTTAAGATGGAGTTTTAGGAAACAAAGGAGGGGAGAAGCTGTGTGAATGATAGTTATTAGAAAGAAAGATATTTTCTGAGTGTGCAAAAGTAGGCTTTACAAACTGATGGTTCAGACTTATGGTTTGTCACCATATCCCTGATGTCAACAGGCCTGCAGCACCCACCTGAAGTGGCACTGAGCAGGAGCGTTAACCCCACCTCTGTTGTGGGTATGCTCCCCTACCTAAATTGCTGTCTTTCCTACTAATCGACAGAATAGCCTTGCAAGGCAGTCAGGTAGTCAGGGCATTAAGAAGTACATTCAGAGGCTTGGTAGGTATTGTTCTTGTCTTGCTCTAATTCCATTTTCCTCTTGATGAATGAAATTTTCTAAGATTTCCTTTACCCCTATCTCATGTAAATTGATCCAGTATTGGGGCAAAGTTGTCCCCTAAAACTATGTTTGACTTCACAGTTTAAAAAACATTTGCTGTAGGTTAAAAAAAAATCCATTCAGATGTTCACAGGGTTCGGAGCAAGCAGTCTTCTAAAAGGAGGGAACCTTAATTAAAATAAATGGTTTAAGCCAAAGCTATTTGTTTAAAAATACACAAAAACAGTCAAAGCAATATTAAATATGCAATTTTAATCTTGTACCAACTACTTTACTTTTCAAAGTAGGCTTCTCTTCTCTTCCGCAGTTCTTCTGAACTAAGATTTGTACCTGATGTCTGTGGAGTGTCTTGAGAAACATTTCTGGAACTACCTAAAAACAAAACAAAACAAAAAGCTATCATTTTATTTATCAACTCAAGCAACATGTTTATCCTTATATGAGCAAGCTTTTCAAGAGCTTTCTTTCTTAAAAATGCTTTACTACTATTCTGTAAATATAGGAGAGGCTCTGGAATTCTCAGGGAAAACCTGAATAAAGTAGTCCAAACCTGAACTGTGATCACTGCACCCAAACCTGTTACCTATCTATGATGTAGCAGATGTGAGGATATAAGCCCAACCACCAACACCGGGGTCATTAATACCACCCTCATGTGCTATTTTTAATTTATTAGAAATGAATCTATATTTTCAAAGGCAGAGTATTCCCAGAAGCAATTTTATGATGGATGTCCCTAAAATAAACCAATCCTCTAACATTTGAGTACTACAACTTAAATATGTTTCCATGTTCTCATTTAAAATTGGTCTAACCAGAGATTTTGCACAATTGTGAAATAAAGTGGATTGTTGTTAGTTGCTGTTGAGTCTATTCTGACTCATGGTGACCCTATGGGTGTCAGAGTAGAACCGTGTTCCGTAGGGTCTTCAAGGCTGTGACCTTTTGGAAGTAATCACCATGCCTGTCTTCTGAGGCATGTTTGGGTGGGTTCAAACCCCCAACCTTTCAGCTAGTAGCTGAGCACTTAACCCTTGGTGCCACCCAGGGACTCCTGAAATAAAGTCATAAGAAAAGTGAATTACACAGAAATAGCCAAAACTGTAAAAGCTGGTATCTGTCCATCATAGGCTAAGCTAGTAGGCTCTACTCGTCAAAACTGGGATTGCACACCTTGTTGAGTACTGAGAGGTGTGCCAGAATGCATGAGAAGCACAGGATAAGATACAAGGATACATATTCATATTAAGAGAACCTTAATTTTATTTAGATATTTAAGGAATTCAAATGATGAGGAATTTCATTAGAAAGTCAAAGGCAAACTTACAGGAACCAGATAAAAGTGAAACTTCAAAATAACTGTACACTTTTAAGTAAACCACTTAGGGCTATGTCCCAGGCAGTTCCCTCAGCCTGGATTCCCTGGGGGATACGTCTTCACTCTCCTCTGGTGGGCTGACAGCACTGAAAAACTGGGCCCACTGAACTGGGCTTCAGCTTTAACTTGCATAATAACCAGTAAGTGTTGGATTTTTGTAAAATCAGTTTATACCCTCCCTCCAAGCCCTCCTTTGTGCCCAATGGCATACATTTTTAGCTGGCTTGGGTAAAGGTTAACTGACCCCCACACTGATCAACCTTGATTTACTGCCGTGTTGGTATAGTATAATCACCAAATAAAACAGCCAGAAATAAAAACATTACTAGTTCTTAATACAGTGAGACCTGGGAGAGCCAAACTCAACGGGACTACCTTGTTTTTCTGAGTCTCAAAAGTTTTCCATCTTTGATAGGGTGCAGTCTTACCACTTTCCTGCAGCTCTCCATTAGCCGAAAATACTTGAGTTTTTCTTCTCTGACAGGTTTCTGCCTTACACAGGTTCTAGCTTTTGCAGGTTTTACTGTATTACATTAGAATTTTTTTTTTTTTAATTTTTTACAACCTATGTTGGTTGTAAAAAGTGATTTGTATTACAAGAAATCTAAAAGAAAAGCTGACTGTACGTAGCCATTGCTTCAGCAGTAACTGCAGTACTTTACCAATACATTTTCTAGTACATTAGCTTCCAGAGAAATCAAAAATAATCTGAATCAGCTCCTCAGCAGTGAATAAAGTACCTATCAAATACCTATCAGAACATCTATACCTTGCATACTGAGCTGAATAGCCCTGCGGAGATCTGCTTCTTCGTCTTCCATATCAATTTCATGGCGACTTAGTGCCAGAGCCTTCTGTAAATCCTCATCTTCATCTAACATTCCTGGCCCATCATTTGCTTCCAAGACTCGTTCCAGGTCTGTTTTCTGGATTCTGAAGAGCAAAAGCACTGATAGTTACTGCAAACCAGACTCCTATTTTAGCCATGATATAAAGACATTTGTAAACCAAAAATTCTATGTAAGTCAAAACTTCTACACTTTCTGGCATATACGTTCCAATCTTACAAAGACTGCACTGTAATGGGAATCTAAATTAATATACATTTTAAGTCTCTGACCCATAATGGTTCTGTTCCAACGACGCCACTGCAAGTTAGTTCTGACGTAAGTCGAATACCTCATTTTTTTTCATTATTATTGCCTTTTATTACCAGTATCTTTATAAATCTTATTTTTATTTGTCTTTAGGGGTTGGTAAGAGAATGATAACATCAGCAAATTACGCAGTTCAACACTGTATGTAGTATGTATTACTAACATTAAAATGTACCAAAGAAAAAAAAGACGGTAACTGTGGTTCATCGTAACTCCAACATGTCGTAAATCAGAGACTACCTATAATTCAAAGAGTCGATTCAAGTTTGAACCAATAAACTTCACTAACATATAAAGGTCTAAAAAAGTCACTAACAGTAATAGTACTACATATTCAGTTATCAGCCTGAAAATTTAATTCTTGTAATGAAATACTAACATACATTCCTCACCACAGGCATACATTTTACCTCTGATCTTTCAGCTGTGCTAATTCTTCCCCAATAAGTTTTGGTCGATGCATCTGTTGGACCCTGATCATCTGCAGGAGTTGGTCAGCTTCACAATCTGGCAGATCACCCTTAACAACAAATATAGAATAACCTAAAAAAAAGTCAAAAATAAAATTAAAACAGCTGGTAAGAGATCCAAAATAGATTTGAAATGATAGCAGATAGAAAGACAATATAGTGTAGTGGAAAGAATAGGCTGAGGAGTCAAAAAGACCTGGATTCATTACACTTACTGGGGAGGTGATCTAGAGCAAGTTACTTAAAGTCTCTGAGCCTCACTTTCTTCATCTGTGAAATGGGAACAGCTGTCTCATAAGGTGACTATGAGAAACAAATTTAATGTCTGTATAACGGGCCCTACTAGTACAGTGCTTGACCAGGCAGGCCATGCCACGAATGGTAAGAGAGAGGGAAGTAAAGGAGTGTGAAACAGAACAAGGGATTTGACTCATACTGCCTGGGTTTCAATTCCAGCTCCTCCACTTCCCAGTTGTGTGGTCCCTGGTAAATCACTTTACCTGCCTATGTCATGGTTGCTTCACCTGTTAAAACAGATGATACTGGTGCCTTCCTCACAGGGATACTGTGAGGGCAGAATAAGATACTATGTGTAATAATGGACTATTATTTCATAATCAGATAATGAGCCATTTGTGGAAACAGCTGTGGAAAACACACACACACACACACACACACACACACACACACTCCTTCTAACTGGAAACAGGAGCTGGGAAACCAATACTCAAAATCCAGTCAAGGTGTTGAAAGTGTAGTTCATGTTTTGAAAGAATTACACTGGCCCAGTGTAATTTTTTATAAATACAATTGTGGAAGGCCAAGCTGGATGTGCCTCACAAAATGTGATTAAGGGTAGCCTGCACCTAAGTTATTCTGATCAATTTAAGTTTTTATACATTTCTGTTAAACTTTGGTGCTTGTTACCTGATATCCTTTGTGAGCATTAACAGATAATGTTTAACATTTTTTCACAAGGACAGCTGTGGTTCAACATATTTTCTGCTGGTAAAATTGTTCCTCAGTCCGAGAATAAAGTCAGTCAGTTCTCCAGTGTTCCATGTAGAACAGATATTCTGCCACCTGAACAAGGCTCAGAATCAGTTGCTCGCCTAGTCAAATGAGTTGGTACCGAATGAAGACTGTATGTACACAATGGGTATGGTTAACACAGAGGGCAGAAAAAGGGGATCAGAGTTCCTCCTATTACTCCTACTGTTTTCAGTGCCATCCAGGATAGAATGGCCCAAGAATTCAATTCTTCTCACAAATCCATCCCTACACTAGACTAGAATACATTAAACTGTCGCTGATGACAGTCATTAAGATTACACTAGCTTCCTTGGTACTGATTCCACACTGCAAGGAAGCCTGGCTTTCTACATAACTTTCCAATAGGAAAAGAGCATGCTGGTTAGCTAACTGAAGCAATCCAGTCCACACAACAGCTATATTTCTTATTCTGAATTAATAAATTGGCTGATGGTGTTAGTTGCCATAGGGTTGGCTCTGACTCATGGCAACCTTAGTATAACAGCATGAAATGCTGCCTGATCATGGGCCATCTTCATGATCGTTGGCATGTTTGAATCAACTGTTGCAGCTACTGTGTCAATCCACTCATTGAGGATTTCCCGCATTTTCATTAGCCTTCGACTTTACCCAGTGTGATGTCCTTTTCAGTAAGTTGGTAGTCTGGTTTAGAAACTGGCTTCAATTTTCAAAACAGCAACCTGAGGTCCCACCTCTAATACCTTGACTAGATTTGAGGTACTGGCTTCCCAGCCCTTGTTTACACTTGCAGGAGGCAGTATTCGGTGACTAGCCAATTCTGGGTGCCAAGCCAAGAGTCCTGGCATGTCTACAATAAGATACCACCGCACCCATTAGTTTGATGGGCACAGACTGCCAATAATAACATCTTCATTCTCTCATTCATTCAACAGACATCTACTGAGTACTTACTATACATTAAGTTCTGTTCTAGGTGCTGGGGGTGGTTCCTGCCCTCATAGGACTTCAGACAAAAATAAACAAGCAAATAGATTTTAATATTAAGTAACAAGTGAAGAAGGGAAGGAGAGAGTGAAGATGGGAAAACCAAGGGTAATAATCAGGAAAGACCTCTCACAGGATGATATATTTGAGCAAAGATATTTGAATAAGACAATAAGCCCTCAAAATATGTGGGGAAGAGTATCCCAGAAAGAGGGCAAGCCCGAAGTCCTTAAGGTAGGAAAAGGCTTGACCTGCTCAAGGAATAGCAAGGAAACCATGGGCTTTGAGCAGAGTCAGGGAGAATGGCATAGGTGAGAAGGCTGAAGAGATAGGCAAGAATGAATTCATGTGGTACCTTAGGTCACAATAAAGATCTTGGGTTTTATTCAACACTTTAGATTTTATTCTAAGTGTGCTGAGAAGCTGCTGAAGGGTGGAGAGTAAAGTGTGACATAATATGCACGAAATTTTTTAAAGGCCCTCTGAGCTGCTTTATCTATATACTCTGTGTAGGAACCAGAATGCAAGAAGACAGTGATTCTTACTGAAATGGAAAACCTGAGTGAAAGTATTCTTGGGGGGAAAAAAAATCAGCTTTTGTAGACATGTTCAGTTTGAAATGCCTTCTGGACTTCCAAGCGAAGATGTCAAAGTTAGGAGTTTGGTGCTCAGGACAGGTATCTAGGCTGCAGATAAACATCTGGAAATTTTCAGCATATAGATCTTACTTAAAGATGGTATTTAAAATCATGGGACTGGAAATAATCAAGAAGTTGAACCCTGGGTCACTTCAATATTTAGAGACCAGAAAGAGTAAGTGGGTCCACAAAAGGAATCTGAAAGCAGCAGCCAATAAGATATGAGGAAAAGCAGGATATAGGCCTAGATGCCAAATGTAGACAGTGTTTCAAGAAGGGCAGTATAGTTACAAATGAGGTTGTAGGCATAAGAAAAAAGACATCCAAGTAAATAAAATAAAAAAGTAAAAGCATTATAATCCTAAATGTGAACTGGAAATAACTACATGAACTCATGATATATTTCTCTTAAAAAAGGGACCGTCTTTAAAAAGCAGGCTGAGAAACAATGATCAACCAATAGCAATAAGCACATCAGTGCTCAGATTGTGATTTCCAAATACCATTACTGAAAGGCACCAGGGATCCTTGGAGCAACGAAAGGTTTCAGTTCCAGAGCAGGAAATATACATGATAAACCGGAAACATCTTGCTACACAAGAAAGCAAAAAAGTCTTCAAAAGCCTACAGGGGTCATGTCAGTCTTGGGACTCAACTTTGGAAGATTTCCACTGGTCAAAGATGGGACAATTTGAGCATCAATATTAATAACAACTGCAATGGACTGAAACCCAAACTATGCTTTAATCTATTAGTTTATAATGACATTTTAGTAAAAATTTAACAAAACAAAACTACTTGGTTACCCTTGGGGGATGCTAGGGAACCAACTTATTATTTTAAAAACTGTGAAAGGGAAAAAAAACAACAACTTATTTTGCTTTTCCTATATGAACTGTACTTCAAGATAACCAAATAACTGATGACAAATTTACCGGCACAGAGGTATTGCAGTTAATAAATGAAGGAATGACATGAATCTAATATCACTCTTTTGCGATATTTCGAAGTAATGGACCTAGACATTGATTATCAGTGGCTAACTGCATTGCCATCGGGTCGATTTCGACTCATAGCGACCCTATAAACATCACAAAAAGAGAGACATCCAGACATTAAGTGCCACACCATCTATGAAGAGTCCTTCACTCTCCTCCCAAAATCAATCTAAATCTGATTAAGCTTCTAGATCTAAGTACCAGTCTATAGGGTACCCAAACGTCAGAGGAAAATAGGGGTGCAATTGGCAAAATCCAGAATGTGGAGAACAGGACAAATGACCCATTTTCCTCAAAAAATAAATCCAGGAAAAAAGAAGAGAGGACACTTATAGATTAAGACGGATTTGAGACATATGAATCTAATGCTATCAATGGATCTAATTTCAATATGGATTAAATTGTAAAAACCACAAAGGGACAACTGGAAAGATTTGAACACTGGGTATTTGATGTTATTAAAGTATTATGGTTAATTTGTTTAGATATGATTACAGTATTGTGGCTATATTTTTTTGAGAATCCTTGCTTTTAAAAATTCTGTTAAAAAACATTTACAGAGAAAATGATTAAGATGCGTAGGATTTGGTTCAAAATAAAAAGAGGAAGAGAGTAGGTGGGGCATAGATGAAATAAGACTGGCTATGAGATAATTACTGAAGCTGAATAAAGGGTACATGTGGGTTCATTACATTATTTTCTTTACTTTTATATTTGTTTGACATTTTCTATGACAAAGTTTTGTTTTGTTTAAAGGAGAGCATAATCAACCACAAGGTCCTCGGGTAGCACAAGTGGTTAAGTGCTGGACTACTAACTGAAAGGCTGGTGTTTTGAACCCAGCTAGAAGCACCTCAGAAGTAAGGCCTGGTGATGTACTTCCGAAAGATCACAGCCTTGAAAATCCTATGGGGTAGTTCTACTCTGTACACATGGGGTCACCATGCGTCAGAATCAAATTGATGGCAACCAACAACATCAACAACAACAATATAATCAACTATACCCTCAAATAAAATGAGGATGGTAAAGGGAAGACTGAGAATTGAATACCGGCACTGGCAATGTGGGGGTCACTGGTGACACTGAGAAGAAGGCTTTTCGGTGACATGTTGGCTCTAACAGCACGGCTGGAATGAGTTCAAGAACAGGAGACAGCACACTAGAGACAACTCTAAGGAGAAAATAAAAATGGGAGGCAGCTGGAGTTTCAGGGCGTTAAGAAGAGGCTTTTTCTTTTTCATCAGTGGGAGATAGCGTACTCCTCTGCTGATAGGGATAATACGATAAAAAGAGGGAAATGATCATATGGAAGAGCGGAGCGATAAAAGCAGGAGCAAAGATTCTGAGTGGGGGAGTGAAGCCAGGATCCAGCCCACAGTGGAGGGGTGGGCCTTGTTAGGAGCAGGGGACAGTTCACCTATTTTAATAAGTGCAAAGCAGATACAGATCTAAGCAGGTTGACAGATTTGCTGGCAGAAAGATATAAAGTTGCCTTTTAATTGCTTCTGTTTTCTCAGGAGAATATAAAGGAGGGCCATAAGCTAGGCATGAGGAGGTGACAGGGAGTGGTCTGAGGATTGAAGCTGTGAAATAATCATCTTGGAGAGTGGAAAGTGAATTGACTACAAAAGCATAGTAGGACTACCTGGCAGCATTAACGGTCTGTCTGAATTTTGTGGTCATAAATTTAAAGCAACCCAATCACCATATTTTATGTTCTTCTTTAGCCATGTTCACCTGCTCTGGTGCTGGAATGGACAAAGCCAAAATTTGGATTTAACCAGGGCTGGGATTCTGTCATGAATAAACAACGGAGAGGAAGGGAAAACAGCTGAGGAATGCAAGGGCATGGTTATGATAATGAATTACAGAAAATAAGCAGGGTAAGAAAGGAAGTCAGGATGTAAGAAGAGTGCCTGGTCCCCGTGGTAGGGATAAATAACTGTTGGAATGGAAAACAGAGGAATGTGGCACGAAGACAGGAGGTGGCAGTCACAGATGGGGACGCTGCTTGTAACTGGAATTTGGAGGTGGTATAGTTACTGGTAATGGTTAGATAAGAGTGAAGAAAACAATCTTTGAAGGTAAAAAGCAAGAACAGAGATGTCAAGGAATTGATTTTTCAATGCAGAAACTGCTAAGAATGATAAAAGGAGTTGACGCAGAGAGAGAGAAATGAGTAAGGTTCTAAAATCTCCAGTGGAAAAAAAAGGAGAATCACAGATGACTACAAACAGGCAGGGGGTAGTTTAATCTAGTGGTGCGTACTTCAATGGAGTGGGAATTTTTAGGGAGGAATGGTGGCCTAGAAGGGACCTAGAAGGGGCGAAGAGGAGCAAGAATACCTAGCCCTCCTCTTAGCCCTATGGTATGTGGAGTATGGAAGACAAAAGAGCCATTACTGGACGAATGGACATGGGGAACCTGGGGTGTAATTGGAAAGGGGGAGAGTGCTGACACATTGTGGGGATTGCAACCAATGTCACAAAACAATTTGTATATAAATTTTTGAGTGAGAAATTAATTTGAGTTGTAAACTTCCACATAAAACACAATAAAATTTAAAGAAAGAGCCATTACTTGGAACTGCAGAGGATGAAGCATTCTCAGCAGAGGGACAGTGAGAAGTCTGACAGAACAGTACTACCCAAAACCAGCTAAGTTTACTTAGCTACTTCCAAAAATCACATCACAAAAATTTCAGTCTGTATTTACCTTCCTGTTGTAACTGAGCCAAGAAAAGTGCAAGATACGTGTCTGATATTAATTCTGGACCCGTCAAGAGAGAATTCAAGTTAAACCACTGGAAAAGAAAAGTTGTCAATATTTAAGTTAGTGAACCAAAAATCAAAAAACCAAACCCATTGTCGATTTTGACTCAGTACAGGACAGAGCAGAACTGCCCCGTAGGGTTTCCAAGGATGTAACCTTTACAGGAGCAGACTGCCACATCTTTTTCTCTCGGAGCAACTGGTGGTTTGAACTGCCAATTTTTTGGTCAGCAGCCGAGCTCTTGTTAGTGTGTATATTAGAGGTAATAAAGACGTTGCACATGTTAAGAATAGACATAACTCATTCCAAACTTAGTAAGAATGTTGTAACACGGGAAACATGTCAAATAAAGATATTTTTTAAGTAGCTGAATAATGTGATTTTTAAAAACTGTAATAAAATGTTGCCGATGTACTACTACTAAATGTCTTTTTTAAAGATAAGTTTGTTTTATGCCACAAATTTTAAATCCCTGCCCCTAAAAATAAAAACTGATAATCAGTACTTTAAAGTATTTTTATTGATAGCTACAGTTCAATCTTTCTTCAAAGTATCAGCCCAACATAACTATAACCTCGTCTCCTTGATAATGATGTGGGGGAAAATTACAACTACACAATTTTCTCCTCCACTAATGACAGCTTTGATCAAAAGACTTTGAGAAAGTCAGACAAGTCAGACATTTGAGGAAGAGAATTTGTAACCACTAATTCATTTAAAAGCCCAAGTGGCGCAATGGTTAAACACTCGGCTGCTAACCTAAAAGTTGGTGGTTTGAACCCACCTAGTGGCTCTGCAGGAGGAAGATTTGGCAATCTGCTCTCCTGTAAGATTACAGCCCAGGAAACCCAATGGGGGCAGTTCTACTCTCTCTGTTACATGGGGTCTTTATGAGTTGAAAATCAAGTTGATGGCACCTAACAACAATTCATTTAACAAAGATCACTAAACCACCATCACATGGTGACTGACACCATTTAGTCACTGCCGCATGGGAGCCCTAGCTTAACCATCAAGATCAAAAAGTTCCCAAAGTTACTGTCAATGTCATGACCAACTATTTCTCTTGGATTCTGACATATCGAATATACCTTTCTAGTCATCTTTTTCATTATATAGGTACCTCAGACAGAAAGTCTATAGTGAAAAATACAGTTTTAATAAAAAATATAAACTAGAACCAAAGATAATAACCCAAATTTGGTATCTTTACATATAGTTCAAAATGTGAAAATGCAACTTTGAAGAACTAAAACTTTAAAAATCTCTCAAAATAATATGTTTACAAGTAAATCAATATAAAAGAACTTCTGAAATCCAAGTCTTCAGATTTTAAAAATCCATTGATATTTATACAGAAAACATAAAGAATACTCGGTCATAATTTTTAAAAGGTACAAATAAAACCCAGAGGTTAAATCACCTTGGCAGTGCCCTGCCCTAGTTCGTTTTCCCCTAGAGTGGATTCCCACCCCGGCCAGCCTCTGTTCATGCCTCCACAGCATGCCCCGTAACTTGCTCTTAGGCCAAAGTCACCAGGACTTTAAGAAATAACCATTTAAGATGGAGCTGCTGCCAGGTGGCTGACTTAAAACAGGAGCGTTTTTGTTGTTTTTGTTTTTGAATTATCTTTTATAGATTTAGTTCAGTGTAGTATTCCTTGAAGGAGTCCTGGTGGTTAAGCACTCAGCTGCTGACTAAAAGGCTGGTGGTTCGAACCTATCAGCTGCTCCATGGGAGAAAAGATCTGGTAATCTGCTCCTGTAAAGATTATAGCCTTGGAAACTCTATGGGGCCGTTCCACTCTGTCCTATAGGGTTGCTATGAGTCAGAATCAGAAGTGACTCGACCACACACCACCGCACCAACAGCCTTCCTTGACTTTTTTCCTTTGTATTTTTTAACAGCTTTATTGAGATGTAATTGACATACAATAAAGTGTACAATTTGGAAAGTTTTAACATATGTGTACACCCATGAAACCATCACCACAACAACCAAGATAGTGAATATATTCATCACCCCCAAGTCTCCTCCTGCATCCCTCCCTCTCGCTCCTCATGCTCTCCCTCCCCAGACAGCCACTGATGGGTCTACTTTCTGTCCTCAAAGATCAGTTTGCATTTTCTAGACTTTTACATATGCAGTCATATAATATACACTCTTTTTCACCTGGCTTCTTGCACTCAGTATAATTACTTTGAGATTCATCCATGTTCTTGTGTGTATCAACAGTTTATGTCTTTTTATTGTAATAGCTGGATTTCAATACCCTCTTTCAAAGATACAAAATTCTAATAAAAAAGGACTTATGATTCTGTTTCAAAAATGCAATTGCGTGGCTACCAAGGCCGCCACCTGACTGAGTCCAGTACAGCTAGATGGTGCCCGGCTACCATCACTGACTGCTCTGACCAGGATCACAACAGCGGGTTCTGAACAGAGCTGGAGAAGGATGTAGAACAAAATTCTAAC